CATGCTAAATATGTGTATTTCTTGTGACAAGACCTTTTAAATGTTATAAGTATGTTTTACCTTGACCTTAGAGTTTGACCCACTTAAAAAAATCTAATCTTGCATTTATCTTGAATGTTTACTTCTGAGCTTGTGAAAGTACATGTACTTTAAAATGTTTTAAACTTTTTTTTTTATGTCTGGCATGTCGGTCCAATTACAGTAATCTGAAGTCTTGTGTCTTTGATGTTCATTTAATCTTCCTGAGTCTACAGTATAAAGCAGTGACCTACCAGTTGTTTCCTGACCCTGACACATCAGTGAGGAGCTGCTGGTAATCAAACACTTCCCTTAGTGGTCCCTTGGTCATCTCACTGACCACTCCCTCCTCCATGTCCACCAGGACTGCCTATAAGGAACAGAAACGATAAACTAATGATATGATATATAGTCAAACCAGAGAAATTACCTTGCTTGGAAAATGTGTGTAAAAAAAATTATCAAACTCAATTAGGTAACTCTTTATTAAAATTTAAGTGTAGTAAAGGATGCTCCATATTAATAAAAGTTTTATTAGGTAAATTGAGATATAATCGTATTATTCAATGATTTGTGAGCTTTAAGTAAATATTTTATCTCACATTGACTCACTCTTGCTTTTAGAGACTTAATCTTTCCTTGTCCTTGGCCCAAAGGAATGTCTGATGGGTTTTCATATCGAGAATCAACATTTCTAAAAAAGCTCCCTACAGATTCATCATAGACACCATTCTGTAAAAATGAAAATGTGACTCTAAACCACAAAATTCACTCTTCTGAAAAGTAATCCATCAACTAGATCAGAAGCAGTAGACATGTCATGCCACAAAAATGTCACCTACCTTATTGACAGCAGCATGCTCACGTAATGCTAAATCCCAGAATCTGCATCCAATCTGGTTTCCACACTGACCAACTAAAATGATATTTGATGTGATAATAAAATGTTAACTTTAAGAACTTAATTGGCTTAGTCTCCAAATTAATTTTTTTTTTTGGCTACAAATATTGTCAAAGCCATTTAAATATAAACTGCATGCAACAATGCAATGAGACTGGTATTCAGGAATTTTAAGATACCAAAAAAAAACTTGCATGCTATAACTACTGTCATCTAAGTCTCTACTGCTAAATATTGTATATCAAGTCATCTATCATATCATATGCTTTATGAATCAAAGAATTTAACTACAACATCAATCACAACAAAATATTTACCTTGTACAACAATCGACTGAGTCATTTCGGGTTGTTGTGGTGTGTTACGATCTGCGTCATAACATATGTATTTTTCGTTGAAGATTTTTTCGTACTTTACAAGCGCAAGACAGACCTAAAAGTTTGAAATAGTCATACGTAAAATATTCGTAATATCAAGGGACTAATTTACATTATCAGAAACGTATTTTAAAAATAACAGATAATTTTCAATTAACAGCTTTATTTCTAATATTGATTTTTTTAGAAAAAAGAAATAAAGAACAATTTTACAAAAAAAAAAAAAAAAATGAATTTATTAAATCAGAACACTCTTTTTTTTTTTTTTTTCCCGTACATTAAAAAAAAATACATTGGAATTTTCTAATATTCCCTTTAATATAAAAATATGACATATTAATGGATTAAGAGATTATCAATCCTTTTTTTCCAATAAAAAAGTAAAAACATTGTGTGAATATTAAACAACGAAAATCTGCTATATTGTACATAATAAAGATGTAATTTCATTTGCAAGTTCAGTTTCTCGAGAATGATAATTTCTGGCATTAAAACAAATGATTATTTGACATTGGAAAATTATCTGATATTAGAAAATACCATACAACACCTTTGTCTTTATAAAAAAATATTGCAAATTAAGACATCAAAATTAATTGAAGAATTGATGTAACAAATAATTTATCAATATGCTCGTACATGTGTAGCCTGGCTAGACTCATGACCCATGAACTCTTAGCAAATTATTTATCAGTTAGCTATTAAGTCACATATGAACCTATCTTCCTGTCACTTCCCCTCTCAGTGAAATCGCCACATCATTGGAGTATCCTGGTCGAGGCACCAATTGTTTAGATTTCACTTCATGGCTAGAAAATAAACATAAATGCGTTTACATGCAGAATATATTTAAAACTGACATTTCTAAAACACTGTAGACATTTGCTCCACCAGAGGACCTATCTGCACAACACTAGGGAACAGAATTCAACGTGTTCTCCATAGAATCATCATATCCTAGCAGTTGATAAATTATGCTCGAGGAGCAAATAAGAATGTAAATTTGTTTCCATACAATCTGCTATATAGTTAACAGAATAGAGCAATTAATTTGTACTACATGTAAATCCCACCTCTATGATCTATGGTATCAGATTTGTTCACCCTGGAACATATTTGACCATGTCTGTTCGATCAGATATTGTCTTCTTTTCAAAGTATTGTTAATTAAAATTTGTTATGATTATACAAATTTATGATTTAATTGTTATAAGTAAACAAGATGTATTTGTGAAACACTGATGCCCCTGTATAGCATCTTAGCGATGAATAAACTTTTCTTAAATGCAAATTAAATACAGGTGACTCTCGATCTCTCGAGGTTAAAGGGACCGCGAGAAAAGTTCGAGAGATCGAAGGGTTCGAGATATAGAAAGTCAATAAAATCCTGAATTTTCACTTCCGACCATCGATGTTTTACTTTTAAATATACCGGAAGTATATGTAAATAAAGTAATTGCTCGTTTCCAATCATATTTTACAGGTAATTTACTTGATATCAACAATTATGGTCATATTTCGAATAAATAAAAGGAATTCCTACAGTTTCAATATTTATTTGTTCTTTTTTCATGATTACATGATACCCAAATATCATTGTCAGTTTTACTATTCCTCGGCTTGATCGGGACAATTCCTTCACCAGTGTTTACCAGATTTTTCTTAACCAGTATTTAGTCCTTGAGAAAGGAATTTCTTGTGCAATATTTGCCATACTGGGATTATCTAGCCTCTAATAAAAGGTCATAGTCTATGGGAACTTAATGAACCGAACATCTATAAATAATTTTCTAAAAATTATCGTCTCGCTTTCAAGTCAAAATAAATTGTGAATTAATGGTTTATTATTTACCAATAATAATCAATTACATTGTAATTATATCAACACATGGACGACCCACAGGTGAAGTGTCATCTATGTAAACACCCAGTTAACACCTACAAGCCACCCCCAGGCGTTTACTGTTTTCCAGGTAAGTCCAGGCTGCATCAATTTTACGGTTGATTGGCGAGTATACACGCGCAATCAAAACTTCTCGAGATAGAGAGTAAAATTCAATGAAATATGTGTAACGGGACCCAGGTTTTGGTTCGAGAGATAAAAGTTCGAGAGATCAGGAGTAAATTTGCTTAGTTATATAGAGGAAAAAAACGGGACCGTAGGTTCACTTCGAGAGATCGGAGTTCGACCCATCGAGAGTCACCTGTATATCAGTACCCAAAGTAGTGTCACTCAAAAGAAATACGATTGTGAATTAGAAAGCCCTAGCACCACCTGTTCAAAAGTTCTGGCCAAGGATAAGTTTTTGAAAGGTAGGTCAAAATCCAGGGTTAAGGTCAAAGGGTCAAAGTTGTTGGTTTCTTAAGAAAGGTCTTGTCACAAGCATAACTTTTTAACAGTAAGGGCTAAGGCTTTCATACTTCTCATATGCAAACCTTGTGACAAGACCTTTTTTGGATACCAACAACTTTGACCCTTTGACCTTGGAGTTTCGCCTACTTTTTAAAAAAAAATTTAAGCTTGGCAATTTGACTTTTGAACAGTTAGGGCTAGGGCTTTCATAATGAACATATGAAATCTTTGTGACAAGGTCTCTCTATAAAAATGACAACCTTGACCTTGGCTCCAGAATTTTGTCTACCTTTAAAAATGGTTAACCTTGGCCTTAACCTTTGATTAGGTGGTGCTAAGGTTTTTAAGTTATATTTAACATTTGTATTTCTCGTGAGAAGGCCTTACTTTGGGTATCAATATGATTGATTTGCATTTGAAAAAATTTAACCTTCGCTTTGTTGCCATACAGGGGCATCAGTGTTTCAAAAACACATATTGTTTTAAAATATGAAAAGCTTCTCATATACATGTATATAAAACAAAAAATATCGAAATGTCGAGATTCACAAATACTTTATTTGTATAAAACAAACAAAAGATATCCTAAACAATACTGTAACAAAAGTATGGAAAACTCTCAAAATTTTTTGATATTATTTCAAGTTTAAAGTAACTACTTGTATTTACTTTAAAAAGATTGTAGTCTATTTTCATTTTTTTTTTTTTTTACAAAATGTTTATAGCAATATGTGTCACACAATCTGTACATGTCATAATACTAGACAGCCACAGCAGTCTATTCACTGCATATGTATATTATTAACTGCATTTTCATTCTTAGCTTTACACAAAAAAGTCATAAAAATATTCCTATCAAGATGTACCAATTCACTGTACATTTAAAAAAAAAGGGGACGGGTAAATGCACTATTTATGCAAATTTCTAAACAAAGGTAAAACAATATTTAGTAAATTAAAATTATGCATTTGACTTTGATGCAAGAAGTGTGTGAAAATTGCAACACAGCTAAAATGATATCAATAAAATGTTCACTAACAAAACTAAACTCTGTGCCTCATATAAATGTCCATTACATGTATTTTATGAAAATTTTGCATACAAGTACATATCCAAATAACCAAAAAAATCCTCTCATTAGACTCTCAATGTTAACTCCTCTCAATCTGAATTCAAAACAGTCACTTTCAGTAATCAAAAGAAAAACACAATTCTTATTTTGGGAACAAAAAAATTCTTTGAAATGCATATTTTAAAGTGGCCATCCTAAATACAATTTACAACAGTTTTTCATATTTAGCCTTCTAAAAGTTAAACAATTGAATGTAGGTACTTCCTCTCAGACTTTGATCAATCTGAAATGGTAAATAAAACATACTAATAATTAATTCCCACACTAGTTGCTTTAAGCAAGCTCCTTACTGTTTTCAATTCAATTCTCCCCTTATACATGGAATCCCCACAAATAAAATTTAGATTATTTTTAAATATTAATCATTTTCATTTACTGTATGATCTTCAACATTTATATATTGTTCCAGTTTTATTATTTTTTTCCTGAATAGAAGGGCAAATTCGGCACTGCAGTACCATAATGTAAATGAAGACAAAGCTCAGCTTAACAAACATAATCCAATGTACCTTGTTTATCTAGCTTGTCCACGGAAATACCTCGTCCAGTCCCTGCCATCATCAACCTTCCCACACTACCTGTCATCACCTGACCCCCTCCTGCACTACCCCTCATCACATGACCCCCTCTAATACTCTGTCCTCTCCCAATCAAGTTCAAAGAATTGTCCACCTTTTCACTGCCAAGCCAGACTGACTCCGCCCTTCCTCTGCCCACCCCTGTGATCCCCCGACCCACACCTGCCATTCCTCTTCCCATCCCCACCCCCTGCCCCTCCATGGAGGGCTGTTCCCCCGTTGATGCTGTCTGACCCCTGCCAACTCCTGTAGAGGATAAGGAGAAGGCGAACACAGTGTGGGGCTGCTGTTTGGTTGACTGGGGTTTAGGGACGTAGGTCTGGGGGGCTTTGTTAGGAATCCTCAGTTCTTCTTCCTCCTCCTCCTCCTGTTTTGGGGCACCTGCTACTGGCTTCTCCTCTGGTTTATCTGGATTCTTAAAGTACCTAAAATAACAACCATTACTGGTGACAATCAGAAAACAACTTTATCTTTATAAGTACCGTATACGGGTTATTTTTGTCCAGTGATATTTATGACCTTATGTACTTTCAAACAACATTACCCGTTTTAAATTCGCCACGTCACATTTCTTTTTTAAAAATTATTCTGCGTTTGTTGAATTTGCCCAGTTTTAAATTTGCCAATCTATATGTTTAGGACGGAAGCCGCGAAAATAAGATTGAGCAAAAAATTCCCAGAATACAGTATTGAGATGGTTTAAAAAATTGCTACAATATCCACTTTAATTTTACTTTGCACATATATGTATACGTACCTTCTTTCCTCTTGTGGCAGAGCATACTGTGCCTTCATGTGTTTCTTCTCTGCTGTTGTAAGCCTAGTTTAGAAATTTGAGAAAAAAAAATAATCTCTGCTAAAAATTTTTACAATGAAATCAGGCAAATTTAAATTTCATAATGGTGTATACACAACACTTACCCTTGTAGTTGAATTCCTTCCATTTTGGCAAAAATATTTGGATCCACCCCAATACGAGGAAGAAGAGGAATTTCTGGAAGCAAGAAAAAAAGTAGTACATGTACAATGTTAGTAAAATTAAATTAAAACAGAGTATTTAAAATAAAACATTTACATCTACATTTACCCGTACTTATCCATTATTCATTTCTTTTCAGAATTTTTTTGATGAATACAGTAACATTAAATTCTACTGTATGAGTAATCCACCTTTATCCCAGTCATCTTCAATCTTTAAGTCTATCTGGCTGTATGTGGGTAACTTTGTACAACCAGTGAACAGGGTGCCTCCTTCCCTCTTCTGTGCTTCTGATTTAAAAATCAGACAATTTTAGAATGAAGAGCAATAAAACAGGGAGAATATATATTTCCATTTTTCCATGACTTAGTTATTTATTCTGTCAGATTTGTAATGGTAAATAAATCAATGCTGTGAAATGATGCAAGTACATGTATATATATTGTAAATGTACTTGTTTCTATGAGGTCATAATTCCAAAGAATCACAATTTCTGTTCAAACCATGCATGGTAGAATTTCTTTTTTGGTGTCCTTAAACCCCCATCATTTAATAAGTTTTATGCTGTGCAAAAAGACATATATATACTGTAAGCATATTACATTTGGCTGTGTATTCTATTTAGCAGCTTTGGTGGATCGCACAAAAATCAAATACAATTAAATGTCTTGCACATTTTCACATAAATAAGAAAATTTAGAAATGCTCCAAATCAAATCTATGCTAACTTCAAAAGTCATCAAAATAATAAACATTTACAGTATTTAAGAAAATTCCTGGAAAAATTCAAAACCCATATCTTAATTCATTTCTAAAATGGCATTTCAACCAACAGAAGGTTTTTTTTATTAAGAATTTAAAGAATACTGCCAAAAGAGTTAAAAATCTATTCAGTAATTTTCATACTCACCAAAGGAGATATCCTGTTCCAGTCGTGGTTTATCTGGGCAGTTTTCAAGGTGGTACCGTAGCTCAGGTTTTGGCACCACATGGGTGGCATTCAAGGGACAACTAGCATACTCTGAACAGGGATGATTCTACAAGCAAAATTACAACTTAATTATATACCTTAATTAAACTTTCTGAAAAGAGGTATGTCATAGAAATATACAAGAGGCCCATGGGCCACATAGCTCACCTGAGCACTGTGGCTAGGAAAAAGGAAAATTGGTTTAAACTTGAAAAGCTTAAATCCAAAAGTAGTCCCAAGACCAATCATGGCTTTGCTATTCTTGAGAAGAAGATTTTTAAAGAATTTTCCTATACATTTCTATGTAAAACTTTGGTCGGCCATTTTGGCCCCGCCATACCCCTGGGGGCCATGATTTGAACAAACTTGAATCTACACTACCTGAGAATTCTTCCATATAAATATGATGAATTATGGCTTTGCTATTCTTGAGAAGAAGATGTTTAAAGAAGTTTCCTAAATATTTCTATGTAAAACTTTGGTCGGCCATTTTGAACCCGCCTTACCCCTGGGGGTCATGATTTGAACAAACTTGAATCTTCACTACCTGAGGATGCTTCCATATAAATATGATGAATTATGGCTTTGCTATTCTTGAGAAGAAGATTTTTAAAGAATTTTCCTATATATTTCTATGTAAAACTTTGGTCAGCCATTTTGGCTCCGCCCTACCCCTGGGGGTCATGATTTGAACAAACTTGAATCTACACTACCTGAGGATGCTTCCAAATAAATATGATCAATTCTGGCTTTGCTATTCTTGAGAAGAAGATTTTTAAAGAATTTTCCTATATATTTCTATGTAAAACTTTGGTCGGCCATTTTGGCCCTGCCCTACCCCCGGGGGTCATGATTTGAACAAACTTAAATCTACACTACCTGAAGATGTTTCCCCATAAGTTTCATCTTTCCTGGCACAGTGGTTCTTGAGAAGAAGATTTTTAAAACATGCCACCAAATTTTCATTAATTCCCAATTATCTCCCCTTGGATGAGGGCGTGGCCCTTCATTTGAACAAACTCAAATCCCCTTCACCCAAGGATACTTTGTTGCAAGTTTGGTTGAAATTGGCCCAGCGGTTCTTGAGAAGAAGTCGAAAATGTGAAAAGTTTACAGACAGACGGACAGACAGATGGACGGACAGACGGACGCCGGACAAAATGTGATCAGAAAAGCTCACTTGAGCCTTCGGCTCAGGTGAGCTAATAACTTCATGAAAGTTTTGACCAAGTGAACCATATCTGTCATGTTTAAGTTTTGCCCTGAAAGCTACACTGAGAGCATGCACCTCAGATGCAATTTAACAAAGGTATCTGATACTTAATTTTACCCCCCCCCCCCCCCATTAATTATGACAAGAGGCCCATGGGCCACATCGCTCACCTGAGCACTAAGGGTAGGAAAAAGTAGAAAATGTTTTTTCATTGTAAAGTTTAAATCCAAAAGTAGTCCCATGACCAATCATGGATTTGCTATTTTTAGAAAATGATTTTTAAAGAATTTTCCTATATATATCTTTGAAAACTTTGGTCGGCCATTTTGGCCCCGCCTTACCCCCGGGGGTCATGATTTGAACAAACTTGAATTTACACTACTTGAGCATGCTTCCATATAAATATGATGAATTATGGCTTTGTCATTCTTGAGAAGAAGATTTTTAAAGAATTTTCCTATATTTCTATGTAAAACTTTGGTTGGCCATTTTGGCCCCGCCCTACCCCCAGGGGTCATGATTTGAACAAATTTGAATCTACACTACCTGAGCATGCTTGAATATATATATATGATGAATTATGGCTTTGTCATTCTTGAGAAGATTTTTTAAAGAATTTTCCTATATATTTCTATGTAAAACTTTGGTCGGCCATTTTGGCCCCGCCCTACCCCCGGGGGTCATGATTTTAACAAATTTGAATCTACACTACCTGAGGATGTTTCTCCATAAGTTTCATCTTTCCTGATTTCATCTTTCCTTATTTGAACAAACTTGAATCCCCTTTACCCAAGGATACTTTGTGGCAAGTTTGGTTGAAATTGGCCCAGCGGTTCTTAAGAAGAAGTCGAAAATATGAAAAGTTTACAGACAGACAGACAGACAGACGGACGCCGGACAAAATGTGATCAGAAAAGCTCACTTGAGCTTTCAGCTCAGGTGAGCTAATAAAACTGACTGACCCTCCTGCATCTGATGAGGTGGTACGGCATTCGCTTGGCCCGTATCATCTCACATTTGTTGTACGGACAGGGAATCTCCTGCTCAGGATCATACACTCTGTACTGCGCCATTTAGGATAGTCTGTAAATTAAAGAAATAACAAGGGAATCTGTAAAAAATTTTATATTGAGGTCTACAGGCCACAAAGCTCACCTGAATCCGGCTTTTGTTTATAAGATTTTGCTTTTCTTAAAAGGAGGATCAACTTTAAAAAATTTTTTTACACTCTATTATATGTACCAAACTAAGGTCTTTTTACTTCCTTTGGAAAACTGAAATGTTTTCCTTCAGTTTCCTATTATTGCCCCTTGTTTTCGCAAAAGCATGGGGATATTACATCTTGTTTGTTTGTCAGTCTGTCACAAAAACTTAAACCTTGGTCATAACTTTTGACTGAGAAGAGATATGACCCCATGACCTACTCGAAGTAACTGTTTCATATTTATCATGTGCATTGCCTTTAACAAAATAATTCTGAGCATGCTATTTACCCCTTTACCTTGATTTTTGACCAAATTTTCAAAAATTTTAACTCTGGAGATTATTTTTGCATGATATATGATAGGACATACACAATACTACATACAATTAGCCTATACAGCTGTAAATATTGGCATCCCATCCACCAAAACACTGAAAGCGTTGCACCCACTTTTTCTCCGATTTCCATTTTCACAAATAAGTATAAAATGAGTTGCGTCAAGCGAAAAGTGACCTTCGTGACAAAATTTTAGAAAATCGTTTTTTCACCGATTCTGTAAGAGCTAGTTTTTCTGAATATTTTGATACCAAATTTTTTATTGTATACCTTCTAAATTCTTATTAAAACTCAAAATGAAAGCAATGCAATTTTAAAAAGATAACGCTATAAAACGTTGAATAACGTCACATAACGTTATTGATATTTGGAACGTTATTGTTACTAAATAACCCTTTTGTATCAGGTATGAATTATTTTTTCTACATGTATTTAAGTTTTTCAACGTCTCCCCCCAAATTTTAGCATCTATATGATCGTATACATTGTAAAATAGCGTTAGCTGTTGGGAAAAAAGCATTTTTTGTATATGTATATGTTGGTCAATATTGAAATAATAAAGTAAGTCGTACATTTTTAAAGAATATATTCAACAACATCATTTCATCTTTTTTACAACATGAATATAAGCATGCTTTAATCTCTGAAAAATTAGTATTTGAAAGGGTCCTTCACAAGGGGATTTGATTTGAACATATTTTATTATGTAACAATTACATAAATGGATTGGGCAGCAGGCATAGCTTAAATAAGCCCTCTCCATAAGGGGATAGAGGCCGCTGACCATTTGTACAGAACCAAAAAAGTTCCTAATCAGAAGTTATCTCGCAAGGCATTCGTAACAACACGGATATTTTCCAAGGGAGAAATATTTTATATGCACAGAAATGACCGAGTATTTACGATTGCTTGCAAGGGACTAAAATTTATATTCATGTAGTAAGGTCGTAAGGATAAATCCCGGTCAAAGTATTGTTTTCCCCTTTCGGGAATGTCAGCAAACTTACCTCCACAAAAACAAACCCTTACCCAGTACTTACATGTACATGTGTTTTTTGGAAATGATATAGTTGTACTTCCCTGAACAATGTTTTTTAGGGGTGTGTTGGTGTGGTGCAGCTTTCAGGCATTGTTATTTTTTTACTTATCAATTATATCACACTTTGAAAATCGATGTCCTTTTATTTCATTCCAATTGAAAATTATATTGTAATGTTGAAAATTCCCCAAATCTAATTAGATTAAACGGGTTTGTTTTAGCACCCCCCCTAACGATGTTACTTGCATATATTACAGTGATTTGATATGCTAAAATCAAATAAAATATAGCGGTACACATTGTATCAATAATTTTGACTTAACTATATGGGGAAACGGGGTGGGGGTAGGCCTTCTTCAAAAATTAGCCCTGCAAGTTGTACTTGCCATGGAACAAAGACACGTTACTTCGCTTGCAATTCTTAAAAATTTGTTAAAGACTAATATCGTATGTTGTACAATTTTGTAAAGAGAAAATCTTGTATTTTATTCTCATGCTTAAAATATTGAGGAATTGAATTTGTTCAGCACTAAAATATACCGATAAAAATATCTAAGTTATGTAGATATATAGGCTTGATGCAGAACAATTTGTCAGACTACAATAAAAGTCAGACGTGAAAATTCATACTTTCAGAGTATACTAAAATCGTTATATAAGTCAATGGTACCGGATGACATTCTAACTGTATAATATAAACATTTGATACACAGTTACCTACATGTACATGTATTTAAATAATCAGTTTAATTGATATTCAGCTGTATCAAAGAGATCAAGACAATATATGTTTAAATGGTGTAGGATGCATGGGCCTCATCCCCTGAAATCCAAAGAATATAATATACGTATACACGCTGCCATCGGAGGAACTTTCTTTAGATTTATACTCAGCACAGGCTCTGACAAATCCCATTGCCCGACGCCCGGGGCTAGTGAATTTTAGAGGCGGGCAAGTGAATTTTTAATAGGCACTTGCCCGTGGGCAAGTGGCTCAAAAAAATAACCAATCAATAAATATTTTTAAAAATGTCATAGTTTTCCACGAAATTAAAATTATTTTGTTATAAGAGTTATCTTCCTTCCTGTCACACTTCGTATGCAAACCAGTATAGTGGTTTGCATACGAAGTGTGACAGGAAGGAAGATAACTCTTATAACAAAATAATTTTAATTTCGTGGAAAACTATAGCGCGTCTCTATATGAAAGAAAGTATTATTCTTGAACGGTACGTAAAACAGCATTCAGTCAATCAACAGATTGTATGGTACGCAGTACTTAATGGCAGGTGGTTTTAAATGTCGCTAATATTCAAAATAACAATCCTTGGCTGAAATTTTTTTTGATTTAGAGACAAATTAATTCATTTTGATGAATATAAGGTGCTGGTGGGGCAAGTAAAAATTGAAGTAGGGCAAGTGAAATTTGACCATGCACTTGCCCGTGGGCAAGTGCTTGAAAAATCTATTTGTCAGCCCCTGTCAGCATCATTTTGTTATAGATCATTATGCATTTGTTCAATCGGTAATCCTCGGCAGACTCCGCTTCACTCCAAACAGGTTCGAGCCATCCGAGGAGCTCCGAGTGATATCCAAAAAGAGAGAGAGAGAGAAGAAAAGAAAGAAAGAAAAAAAGTTATAGTCACGAATTAATGATGATTATAGGATATTATTTACAAAACGCAGTATTTTCTTTCAAGTCCAACTTCTTATTCTTATAGTCAGGTTGTAACAAGATCAAACTTTCTCTCATACATAATTAACAAAAGAATATATATATACAGAATGTATATATTTTTAAAATCATATGCAGTAAACAGACACATAGAAAGAATCTTCATTCGTTATAAAAGTACATTATTTTACAGTCTGATATTTAAAAAAGGAGTCATCAGACAATATTATTAAGAACATGCACGAGCGAAAATAATCATTGATTTCACAATCGCAGTGTAATTTGAGATAGGTCTACGGCAACATCAAGAAAGAGGTTGCACAACTTTAAAAATATGAAATTCTTTTAATCTTCTGCAATTACATATACAGTGTATGATAAAGAAAACGGAACTATTGAGATACTGTTTGAAAAACAGAATAAGAATCTTTACCACCAATTGATGATGATGTGAATAACAAGACAATTAATGTTCCGGCACTTAATTGATCAAATATAGGAGCGATCTTTTTAGAGAAGGGAGGGGGGGGGGTGCATGTGAGATTGTATTTTCAAAGTGCCTTTAGTCAAAATAAAAAAGAAATTAATAGTAAATTAATGCATAAATACGAAAAAGAACAAGCAAAACCGAAACAAAATAAATTTATTAAAAAGAAAAAAAAAATAAAGGAAATCAAGAGAGAGAATAACGAAAAAAAATCGGAATTAATTCTTGAAAAGATTCCTTTTCCATAGTAATATAAAACGAACATAAGCCCCCCCCCCCCCCCCCCCCCCCAAAAAAAATGTGCGCGCTCGAGGATGTGTGGGGGTTGGGGTGGGGGAGGAGGGGGCGGGGTAATTAAATCATTTAATTATACAATATTGTGCATGATTATAAGCTCGACTCAAAATGTCTGGAACTTCTGTATTTGTCTTAAATTAAATTAGTAAACTTCAAATCAGAAAATATTTGAAGTCATCGGTCTTAATTTTCGACTTGAAGCTAACAACATCAGTTTAACCCAAATTAACATGTTTAATTTTAATTTATTTCAATAAATTTAGGCAATGAATACAAGACCTTCAATAAGTTTTGAAAATGACCACTGATGATTATCTTCACATTTTATTACGTCAGTTTTCAAACCTCAGAGTGTTGAGAAAATTTAATAAAAGGTGATGGTGTAGATGAGGAGATACAGAAGTCCGTATGGTTTTTGCCTCTTCATCCTTTATGACATTGCTACAGCTTCCTAGATGCTGCATTCATGTTTTTTTTCCTACTTATATGTATATTGACAAAATGCTATTGAACTATGCTAGTATCAGTTAACTTGATTCGATTACTTAATCGCCAATTCTAGGGCTTTTCTGACAAACAGAGAAACAACCTGGAATGTTTAATATGTAACCCCCACCCCCACACCAAAAACAAAACAAAAAAAACATTGAAATAAATGCAGGAGACCACTTGTCTTTAGAGTCCGGAGCTCAGCCGGAGATGCCAATGACGCGCTTGTCTTCACAGATTACTGAGGTAAACACATACATGTACATGGATTTGTTCATATAGACTGTAGATAGTTTTCACTTCTTATGAAGAATAAGGCCATTCATGAACTATCAAAAATTCAATTAGTTAGAATACTTTTTTTGGAAAAATTACCAGTAAATCTATAAATTGACGACATTAAACATTTTTTTCGGACAGTTATAGGCGTGTCTTTTTTCTTAACATTAGTATTACACAAATAAATTTTTGTTTTGCTTCATCGTATAAGATTTTTTTTATCGGCAAACGCACCGGCGCGACGTCACGTCTTTGAAACGCTATTGTGACGTAATTACGTTTATGTCACGAAGGTCCCTTTTCGCTTGACGCAACTCAAATGATTTGTAATCTGTAAAGATTTTCTTGGCCTTCGTGTTGCAATTTTTGAACCAGAAGAGACAATCTAATGCAAAGAAATGTCTGAATTTATAAAGACTATATACATTATTTATGACATCCATTGCATGGCCATATATAGGAAGCAGGGGGCACCGGGAGGGGGTATATTGCAAATACATGTATACAGAATACTGTAGAAAACTTTGCTACTACATATGCTTGTGCCCCCTAAATAAAAGTAATGACTTTCTGCTTGTCCAGGGTTTTTGGTAGTTGATAGTGCCCATAAATAAAATTGTATGGCTGTACCCCCCCCCCCCCCCCAACCCCCGAACTGAAATTCCTTCCTACCTACAGGCCTGCATCCTCTGTCTGAAGACCTACTCGTTGCCTTGTATCGGCCTTTGCTCTAGTTAATGGCAAATATTTTTTCTCTGGCAAGCTTCACTTCTTTTTTAAATTTCCAAGCATTGGAATACCGAGCTTTCAACATTGTTCAAAAGGGCTTTAGTACATAAATTAAATACAGCATGTATGGAGCTCATTTACTCATCCAAAACATGTCGAAGCAATACAATTCTGTAAAAGTTTTTTTGTGTATAGAAATGCGTTACTTTTAATTTTTTATTTTTTAAACTACCTATATTATCAGTTATGATTTTAAATCGTCAAATTCTAATTGTCATCTTTTTAATTAATGTGTAGTAGAACTAAACACTCATCGTGCTCATTTGGTCAGGCATGCAGGGCAGTCCATCTTCGATCTTCGCGCATTTTCTTGATTTTAAGAATGGTAAGTATTTCCCCGTCATCAAATATTATATTAGTTTTCCTATTATTACCTTAACTGACTAACAAAATTTACATCGTCCTAAAGTGACACTGGACAACTTTCTCAGCTTCTTCTTTTCCCGCTATATATATTTCATGACGTCAAACTATATTTTGGACAGTTCGTTCGTAATAATATTCATACAGTAACTGGTACACCTTTTACATGCACATTGAAAATATTTTATAAATGAACAATGAAAATTTTTAAATTGCTTGTCCTAAGCAAAATTTAAAAAGAAATTATTACAATTTTCATACAACAGTCAATGGCACTGGTAGATATAAAGAGCATGGGTGGGGGTGGGGGTGTGTGGGTAGGGGGATCTCCCTCCTTTTGTTCCCAAACATTTAATAAAATGAATGAATCATTTTTTGTTGTCATTAGATATTGATTTTATTGTATGTAAAATATCCGTAAAACAATTCATAAAACTTATCTAAGGGACTACAGTGCTAATTAAGAGTTTCAAGGGATCTGGCACTGATAGGTAGTATACTATTCAATTGTTATTCATGTAACTGATACATATAATTTTCTGCAAAATTAATTAAAGCTGAGCTAAAAAATAAAAATACGAGATCAAGTGTAGAGTTACATGATATTTCTTATTTACGTTCAAATTCAAAATTTCACAGATTTTGAACTTAAATACCCCAACTTTTGACCTTAAACTGTGTTTGATATTTAATTCTGAGCAGGAAATAAATCAGTTTTTGTTTCAATTCTGTGATATCTATGAAAAGCGAATGATTTAAATTGTGTAATTTACATGAAAGTCCTATCTTAATATAAAGAAACAAAACAAATAAAAAGATCATTTTAATTTTAGTTAGTCCGGACTTATAAAAAATACGCCACATCTTTCAATCCTTCAATTTAAGTCTATGGTAAAATCTTGCAGAGCTTCATTTATAAAGGAAGAATTTAATAAATGCATGAACACTGTGAAATTGTTATGCAAAAGAATAAAATTCTAAATTTACAACTTTTATACAAGTAATTGTTTTATTACAACTGCAAAAGCTTCTTGGCATGTTATAAAACATAAAGTACATGTACTACATAATGATATCAATTGAATATTTACACATACAAAATGTTTTCAACTTTGAACACTTTTTACATAACAAAAACAAGAGGCCCATGGGCCACATTGCTCACCTGAGAAGCTTTGACCATTCTGTTCTTTACCAAATTTCCCCCTTGTTATACATAATGCATCCCCACCCTACCCCACTGATCATAATTTAGACATTTTGAAATCTACACTAACCCATGATCCTTCCATGGGCACATATGTTTCAGCTTTTTTGGCCCAGTGGTTCCTGAGAAGAAGATTTTCAAAGATTTTTCCTATATATTTCTATGTAAAACTTTGATTCCCTATAATGGCACCGGCCTTCCCCCTGGGGTCATGATTCCTATAATTTAGAATTTACACTACCCTAGAATGCTTCTATATATATAAGCTTCACTTTTTCTGGCCCAGTAGTTCTTGAGAAGAAGATTTTCAAAGATTTTTTCCTATATATTTCTATATAAAACTTTGATTCCAAATTGTGGCCCCGCCCTTTGCCCGGGGGTCATTATTTGAACAATTTAGAATCTACATTATACCAGGATGCTTCCACATAAGTTTCAGCTTTTCTGGCCCAGTGGTTCTTGAGAAGAAGATTTTCAAAGATTTTTCCTATATATTTCTATGTAAAACTTTGATACCCCATTGTGGCCCCGCCCTTCCCCCGGGGGTCATGATTTGAACAATTTAGAATCTACACTACCCCAGGCGTGCTTCCACATAAGTTTCAGCTTTTCTGGCCCAGTGGTTCTTGAGAAGAAGATTTTCAAAGATTTTTCCTATATATTTCTATAAAAAACTTTGATTCCCCATTGTAGCCCCACCCTTCCCCCAGGTGTCATTATTTTAACAATTTAGAATCTACATTATACCAGGATGCTTCCACATAAGTTATAGCTTTTCTGGCCCAGTGGTTCTTGAGAAGAAGATTTTCAATGATTTTTCCAATATATATTTCTATGTAAAACTTTGATTCCCCATTGTGGCCCCGCCCTTCTCCCGGGGGTCATGATTTGAACAATTTAGAATCTACATTATACCAGGATGCTTCCACATAAGTTTCGGCTTTTCTGGCCCAGTGGTTCTTGAGAAGAAGATTTTCAACGATTTTTCCAATATATATTTCTATGTAAAACTTTGATTCCCCATTGTGGCCCCGCCCTGCCCCGGGGGTCATGATTTGTACAATTTAGAATTTACACTACCCCAGGGTGCTTCCACATAAGTTTCAGCTTTTCTGGCCCAGTGGTTCTTGAGAAGAAGATTTTCAAAGATTTTTCCAATATATATTTCTATGTAAAACTTTGATTCCCCATTGTGGCCCCGCCCTTCCCCCGGGGGTCATGATGTGAACAATTTAGAATCTACATTATACCAAGATGCTTCCACATAAGTTTCAGCTTTTCTGGCCCAGTGGTTCTTGAGAAGAAGATTTTCAAAGATTTTTTCCTATATATTTCTATATAAAACTTTGATTCCCCATTGTGGCCCCGCCCTTCCCCCGGGGGTCATGATTTGAACAATTTAGAATCTACAATATACCAGGATGCTTCCACATAAGTTTCAGCTTTTCTGGCCCAGTGGTTCTTGAGAAGAAGATTTTCAAAGATTTTTCCTATATATTTCTATGTAAAACTTTGATACCCCATTGTGGCCCCGCCCTTCCCCCGGGGGTCATGATTTGAACAATTTAGTATCTACACTACCCCAGGGTGCTTCCACATAAGTTTCAGCTTTTCTGACCCAGTGGTTCTTGAGAAGAAGATTTTCAAAGATTTTTCCTATATATTTCTATATAAAACTTTGATTCCCCATTGTGGCCCCGCCCTTCCCCCAGGGGTCATGATTTGAACAATTTAGAATCTACACTACCCCAGGATGCTTTCACATAAGTTTCAGCTTTACTGGCCCAGTGGTTCTTGAGAAGAAGATTTTTTAATGACCCAACCCTATTTTTGTCTTTTCTTGATTATCTCCCCTTGCGAGGGGATATGTCCCTTCATTTTAACAATTTAAATTCCCCTTCACCCAAGGATGCTTTGTACCAAGTTTGGTCAAAATTGGCCCAGTGGTTCTTGAGAAGAAGTCGAAAATGTGAAAAGTTTACAGACGGACAGACAGACAGACGGACGGACAGACGGACGGACGACGGACAAAATGTGATCAGAATAGCTCACTTGAGCCTTCGGCTCAGGTGAGCTAAAAAATTATCTGATAATAGATTGGAGTCATTTTCAGTCTTGCACAGAGTTATTAAATTTTTCTTGACACGTTCTTCCGTTGCAGCTCTTCTCTCTCATTTCTCAGAGTTGTCTTCATGCCAACTTTTGCAGCCTATAAAAAATCAGAAAATTTTTATCAGAGAAATGAATATTTATACAGAGTATATGTGTACATACAGTACCAAATGTGTGTGTTTGTGATCTGAATACTGTACAGTTAATGTGTACTTAACTAAAATGTAACTGTCAGGTATATGAACAAAATACTGTACATAGTAGATGCATGAATACTGTATGTTGCACTATCTTGCGTACAATTTTCAGTAAACTAAATCACAAGTTTGTTTCTCATTACACATGATACAGATATGGTTTCACTAAGGGGCTGTGCACAGTTAAACACCAATATCATGAACGCCAAGGATTTGTTGAAATAATATGGAAGTCCAAATTAATACTTATTCTTTCAGTATTTTACCCTAGATACTGTATAAGTAGAATTCTTAGCGAGAAATAATTTTGGCATCATTAGCGAGGGTGTTAAGATTGCTACTATTGAATATCGCTAAATTTTAATTGCATTTTATTAAATTCTGTAATAGCTTCTTTAGTGAGCATTTTATAATTGCTAAAATTACTTATCGCTAAGAATAAAATACTAATTTTTATGGAGAAATCGCTAAATTTGCGTCTCACTACTATTTCCACTTATACGGTATCTCAAATCTTTGGACATATATCTCAGTTATTTTCTTTGCCCCACTAAGTTCACGATAATAAGGTTTGACTGTACAATCAAGTCAACCTGCTCCTACCTCCTCTTTTGTCAGAGTATACCCCTCCTCCATCTTCTCTTCTAGCAGCTCAATCTGTCTCAGCTTCTTCTCAATTCTCTTCAGCTTTTTGTCCAAATCCTTCAAACTGTCCAAGTCTTCTTGTGCTGTAGTTTTATAAAACAGACTGCTTTAATTAACTTTTTCATGGCATGTACCTCTTCTATCTTTGAACAATCCACAATCATCAGAATAATGTGTTGAATATCATTAAATAATAGTTTCTTACCATTCTTGTTTTGTTGAGGCATTGCATCTAATACAGAGGAGAATGGGGATGACGTTGTTCCTGAAATAATCAAAAGTTCAGAATGCATTATTTTCCAGTTCCTCTTCCTTGAGTTTTTGAAAATAATTCAGGAAAGACAAAACTCTTTTTTTGAAATCTAAAATAAATTGCACGCTTACCATCAGATCCTCTGTATCCTCGCCCAATCCCCACACTAAACTCAGGGGTGCTTTTCAGGCCCTCAGATCTAACAGCTGCTGGGGTTCCTGTCTGGACAGCGGAAAATTGACCACCCTTGTCAAAAGTTAACCCATTTTCATGGGACTGGGACATCCTTCCATTTGTTTCAGCAATAGTGGTCCCCCTCCCCACCGCAGGGGTGGAGCCACGGCCCCTCCCTCTGCCGCGACCTAGTCTTTTATCCACTTCTCTTCTCATACCATTATCTGTACAGAAATGGCAAATTACAAGAAACTTGATGAAACTAGCATTAAATTTATAACTCTTTCAGCATGAAAAATTTTGCAAAACAATTTATTTTAATTTATCTGTGAACTATTTTAATACTTCCTTAGATACAGTTACCTGGTATTCCTCTTCCTATACCCGTCATAGATAGCGAATATGCAAACACTGCTAATGGCTGCTGAAGCGACTTCTCCTGATTCGATACGTAAGTCTGGGCCGCTGTTTTAGGGAGACGCAGATTGGACTGCTCATGATCCTTTAATGGCGGTCCTGTTTCCGTGTTATGTGTCCAGTATCTGTTATAAAGTAAATTCATAATCATGTTTATACTGGCCTTTTGTTTTCATTTACTCCATATTCTCAGACAAAGCATTGATAATGTTTCTTATAAAGGAACCAACAACAATTAATACCACATACCTTCTATCTTCTGCAGGAACATACATTTGTTTTGCAAACTTTTTCTTCTCTGATTTAGTCAGTCTGAAATATTCAAAATCAGCAATGAACAAACATACCACTATATTCATATAACAAATGTATATTTTCAATTTAAGAATACACTACCCTGGAATAATCATGTGGTCCTGACGCGCAAAAAATTGTGGATCCACCCCAATCCTGGCCACAGAAGGAATCTCTGTTAAACAACAAAAAAATAAATAGTCTAACAACTGCACTCCAATATCTCAATATATGAATTTTCTAATTATTGAAAATTCAAATTATCGATACCTTCATATACCAAACAATTTTTTTTTTAATCCAAATAAAAATGCATCAGTGTATAAATAGGCCTTGGCTTCTTACACTAAATCCTATATACAACTTTGGACAACTATTGCAACTGTTATGACTCAAACATACGAGTCATGATTTTAAAAATTACATGCCATTTTGTTTTTAAAATTGAATGTTCTTGTATATAACTTCAACTCAAATCTTACTGGACTGACAGCTATAAGAATTATAGAGATATAATTTTTAAGTACTGAAGATTTCTCTCTTTTTAAAGTACTTTTTTACAGATATTATTGCAAGTGGTACTTGTGTAGATTTACCATCATCCCAGTTTTCCTCACTGTTAATTGTGACGTCGTCATACACAGGTAGATCGGTACAGCCTCTAAACATGGACCCCTCTTCTCCATTTCTCTTACTGTTCTCTGTAAAAACAATGCACAATGTTCAACCTTTTCATTAGCAAATAAGTTTTAACATTTTGAAATTAGTTTGTTTTCAAACTAAACAGTAATGCCAGAATTCAATTTGAAAACCTATAGGTTTAGGGATCTAGAATTGTTCTTCTGATGAAATGCATAACAGTTAATTGCCTACTTCTGAACATGCTAATTTTATTGCTCTAAAGTATAATCATGTACTAAATGACAAAGTTTAATGATTCTTAGCATCTAAAAAGGCTAATTTAACTGTTTTTTTTAAAAATTACAGAAAGTAGGTAATTGTGACCATATTACCATCTGGTCTCAAGATCGTGTCTCTTAAAAGTTTGCTATCCTACAACTCTTAATATCAAAGATTTAGGAACTATATTTCTGCCTTTTGTGAACCCATTATAATTTGTAAGTCCTTTTCCCATTTTTAACAGTTTTAAGAGATGCTGTGATCTGCATAAACCTTGTCTTTACAACATCAGTGGGATTTGTTGTTGTTATGTTGTTGTTTTGTTTTTAATCCAACATACATTTATAAAAATAAAACAGGACATCATTGATTTACCATAAGCCAGCAATGGTTCAATCACTGCCTTGTCTGGACAAATTTCTAGATGAAAGCGCAGCTCCGGTTTAGGCATTTCATGTCTAGCATTGAAAGGGCAGGTGGCAAAGCTACTTCCCTTATGGTTCTACAAGAGAAAATGTAAAAAATCAGTACAGCAGGTCAATTGCACTTTGTGGTAAAATTGGCAGCATGGTTGTGGAGAAATAATGACTTTGAAATACTGAAATATACGTTTGTCCATATGTAGAAATAGTAAAAATTTATGTCTAATTTTCATGATGTTGATATAAATTGTATTTTCTCGAGCATGGTACATTATACATTTTCTGACCTTTCTGCACTTCATGAGATGGTACTGCATCCTTTTGGCTGGAAACACGTGTGATTTGTCATAAGGGCAGACTTCATCTTTGTCTGGATCTGGCACTTTGTACTGCGCCATACTGTCCCTACGCTTGCTGTGATGTCTCTGTAGGAGAACAACAAAATAGGAAATCAAAGAAAATGTTTTGATAAAATGTCAAAGGGCTGAACAGGTCTTGGTGAACTCCCTTTCGGAGGATTAGTTTTTTACCTTCCAAAATTGGAGTAGAATACGTTTTGCCATCTAACGAACTTTTAAAGACAAACTGAATGGGGTGTAAGGCCATAATAAAAATATTCTTAGATTCTCATATGATTAAAGTCTGTATGATCCTATGCATATATTACATACTTTTCTTCTCAGATTCATACATTTAAATACCAAATTTGAAATAATTTTTTTTAATTCATTTTATTTCTTGAAACATTATTAAATTCATCTTCTAGTCTCCTTTTTTAATTAAAGAAATAACAGCACTGTTTTGAAATATAACTCTATTTTCAAAAACAAGATTATAAGCAATAACAGCATAGAAATTATTATTTGTAACGATAATCAACATTGTATTATCTTCATTATTTTCAATTGTCAAAATTTTCTTCAGTTATTAAAAAAAAAACAAATTTTAAAAAAAAAATTGTTCTTCTATGTACACGTTTAATATTGTAAAAAAAAAATTATTAATAAATGTTGTATGGCTTATAATTCAGATTTTATGTCCAGTTTGGAGAGGACTATACAAGCTTTTCTAACTTGTGTACAGTCCCTTTGACATATTGTCAAGAATTACACATTAGTAAATGTATATGATTGCAGATTGGTCCAATTAGCAGATTATTGAAGGGGAGGTGTGAAATTAAATGGTCTTTTGTTTCTTATTCCTACAAGTGTATTCTAAGTAAACATACTCTAACTGGCTTCTTATTAGTCAACTCTGACTGGCAACCCCCTCCCCCAAATAGTTTTACTGGTATTTATCTTATCACAGCATGCAGAGTGAACCTTACATTTCCTGATTTCCTTCCTGGTTTCAAAATAAAACATCATTTCTCCGTAAACCAGTCTACGCGAAAGTTGAAAATTGTTACCAGACAAAATGTCTGGTAAAAATCAAATTTTTTTCATTTTGACGATCCTTTTTTTAAAACAAATGGTATATATTTTTTCCTTTAAATCCATACATCATTATGATATTGAGATCTTTAATTTGGAACACCAAACTCACTGTGAAATTTAAGAGAGCCTTATTGTTAAATGAATATAAACAAAGAGTGACATGGACATGTTAACTATTTATATATTTTCCTTATATAAAAGGTATCTATACAATTGCATGTATTTTTTTCCTTCATATTTGTGCCTTTCTACAACATACACTGTATCAAAAAAAATTCGTTCAATTTAATATGCACTTTCAATATATTTATTTTTCCTGAAACAACTCATTATGGTTGCTCAAGTTTGATGTTCATTTGAAAAAAAAGTCCCAAGAATTTCGCTAGACTGTCTTACTATTTTATCCAAATCTAATAAAAAGACAAGTTCTGACCCTTGGTCAATGTCAATACACATACACAAAAACGATCATGACTTTTTTTTAATATATAAAAATTAATCAGATATTTATTTTGAAATTGGCTAATATATATATATATATACTGCAACTAACTGTTTATCAAACGTTTAATATACCATGAAAAATAAATTTTTTACCTTCACATCTATCCAGCTGTAAAATTTTATTTTGTTATTGACCAATCAGAACTTGTCTTTTTATTCAGTTTGGATAAACCGGAAGTAAGACTTTCGCATAGCGAAATTCTTAGGCACTTGGAAGTATAAAAACACGTTTTCGTTTGTAACCGTCAGAGGGCGCTATCTTGTTTTCATTTTGACGATCCTTTTTTTAAAACAAATGGTATATATGTTTCTTCTTCTGGATTGTGACTTTACATTAACAAACTAATCTTTAATTTGGAACACCAAACTCAGGCTGGTCGGAGATTTACGGAGAGAGCCGAGGGTCTGGTTGAACGAGACTATAAACAAAGCGGCAAAACAAAAGTAGATTCCCCAAAGTACGTAGTTATGATGCTCGTTATCGAAAGTTTTTTTTTTTTTTTCCATCATACAAACCAGAGAACAGTCTGTATTAATAAGCATAATAGGGAAATCTTACCAACCTGTTTAGAATTGAATAACTCTTGAAATTAGTCAAAAAATATTGACGGACATCGTCTGTAATAAGATACTGCAAAGCTAAGCGCCAACAATGTATACACCAGGTCACGTGCTTGATGACGCGACCTCTAAATATAGAATGCAAACGCCAGCCACTGTTTCGTAATTTTTATGCATTATCACATGGACGGATCTAAATTTTTTTTCCATGAACATGGGTTCATTTATTTTTTCTTCTTTTGGGATTTTCTTTTTGATACAGCTGTGATAAAAAAGAAAATAAATAACTTGGCTTTTTTGTAGAAAACGTGTGTTAAAAAAAAAATTCTGAAAGGGGGGTTATTCATTTTTGAGATCTTGACCCAAATTATGAATATCATGGGAAACTATATAATATTGGCTAGTTTCATTGACACTGGGGAGCTGGGGAATCAACCGAAATTAATCTGGAAAATGTAGGTCAGATCCAGCATCCAAAGCAATTGGTAGTGTTCATCTCTAGATGCATCATTCATCAATGCAAATTTGGTCCAGGTAGGGCTTCAAGCTATTTGGGAATGGACAGGACCTGCTCACAAAAGTTTAACTTCATTAATCTTGTAAATGTAGATCAGATCCAGCATCCAAAGCAAGTCTGGTTGTGTTCATCTCTAGATGCATCATCCATTCAAGTTCCGATTTAGGTAGGGCTTCAAGTTACTTGGGAATGGACTGCATGAATGAATTAACACTGATGCTGCCTGCCAATATCCAGTACATGATGAACAGTTGGAATATTTCGATTGATCTAAAATGGCAAATTCATTGTTTAAATTACTGCTGCATATTCAGTGATTTCAAGACTTTTCTTTAAAGAACTAAATGACCTTGATTTTTGTTTACCTTTTCAAATTTCAATGTGTACTACACACGTTTATCTATGTTATGTAATTGTATATTGCGTTATTTACATCATACTCTTTCATAGGATACATGTAGTAGTAACCCCCCCCCTTTACTATAGGAAAAATGTTTTCATTTTTTTTTACCACGAGGAAAAAGCATACTGCAAAAATTATCATGTATGATCTTCATGATCAACATGTTCTTGAAACATTTTCATGTCCCTGTCAAATTATATGTTACAATTTAATGAGCAGAAAAAGAAACAAGCAATATCTTCATTCCTTTATGTTAAACAATACTTGCACTTTAAAATACATCAGTACTGTAAAATACATGGTAGTATATAAAACCATCTTGGTTAAGTGTAAAATGTTAACTTCCAAAACAATTTTATTATCATCACCAGCATATGTAATGGTAAAACAGCTGAATTGTCTATACATTTTGATGACATTGCTTTATGAGTTACATGAAAGTACACTGTCAGATCTCATTTTGTATCTTCAATCTTCAAAACATCTTGGTTCTTTGAAATGTATCAAGTGTAGATATTACTTTTATTTGTGCCCTAAAAATTCTCTGGGCCACTCAACAAGAAATTTTTTTTTAACTTAGCATGCCTATCATAATGCCCTGAAAAATCATAGTAGGCAAAAGTCACAATGCATTTCTATACAAAAAAGAATTTTGTGTACCATATGGTGCTAAATGGACAAAGCACAAGAATGACAATACTAGATAGGCTTAAAAAAATAAACAAATGAAGAATGACAACAGAAAACCCAATCAGTTCCTACATTAAAGATTATTTAAACATCTTCAGACAAACCTCAAACATCAATGTACAAAGTACAAAGAATTACAAAACTTTGGTATTATCAGTACAATTTATATCTGAGCATTGGGTATAGAAATAAAACTCCCCTTAAAACAAGTCATATAAAAGGGTATAAAATAAAAGATGTAAAGTTCCTGCAACACATCCAAGAGCTATATATACAGAACAATCCTGAGTAACTACTATATGTACAGTACAATCCTCTCCTCCTTGCTAGTCATTTATCCATTTACTTGTTTAACCTGGCATTCTCCTGTAGATTCTCCCTCTCTGCTGTAAGGCTCTCCTTCATGTTCACCTTTGCAGTCTGCAAAATATTTAAAAGTCAAGATGAACAAGCAACATTGATTCATTTGTTTAAAAATATATTCATGTATGTACACATGTACATTATTATACATGTTCAGATATACAGTACATCTTGAAATGTAACCCAAGATATGTTTCACATTCATTATTTAGCATCATAGTAAAACAAACTTACACAGATTGCAAAGCAGTAGTTCATCTATTTAATAACGTCATGGATATAAAATCAACTACACTCCTTAAAAGGGGATATACTTAACCATAGCCAACATATCAAACCCCTACCTCCTCCTTAGTCAAGGTGTATCCTTCCCCCACCTTGTCCTCCAGAAGCTCTATCTGTCTCAACTTCTTCTCAATCTTTTTGAGCTTCTTGTCCACATCTTCAATCACCTGCGAGCCTTCTGATTCCAAGTCTGATTCCTTTTCCTTTCCTATCCAACAAATAAGTGTTAACACTTTTATCCCATTTCAAACTCCTCATTCATTTTTACTCAAAATAAAGCTTTTAAAATTTTCTATCACTTCTTTATCATCTTAAATTTGACTATTTTTGCACATCAAATTATTTTTGTCTTTCATTTGCTGTTTACAATCAACTCTTAAATTGGATGCAATCTTTGATTCATTTACCATAACTGATGTTACGAGAAATCTACAACCCTTACATTTGCAAATTACAAACTTGTGATGAGGTTGTTGTGCTACTTATTGCAACCATATTGCCAAGTGTATTGCTAATACTAAGGGTAACATAATGCATTGTTAAATGCATGTGAACCAGTTACATTTAGTTACAGAGTAACATGAAAATATAATAATACTGAGAGTTATTTCTTACCATTATTCTTCTGCTGGGGCACTGTAGGAACCACAAAGGATGGAGGTGAAATTGTTCCTGGAAAAACAATTCTATGTAAATGTTGGTTTTAAATTAGAACATTGAAACTTAATCAAAATCTTCCTCATCAATTGAAAAGCATCATCATGAAGTAAGAGATTTCAAAGACAAACTTCTTTTCTTCTCTATGTATGTATTTGTTTTGATAAAATACAGTGTAATCTTGAATTACATAGCAAATACTGTGAAAGACACTAACATAAGATTTTTAAAAAATATTTTTATCAATGCCTCCTTTTGAGAATAGGCCTCAATTATACCCTATAAAAACATTCATAACCTGTGGGTTAGAATATCAATAATGCATACAAACCATTAGGCACTTTGTATCCCCTGCCGATCCCCACGCTAAACACCGGGCTGTTAGTCTGGGGCTCTGCTGGTCTCACTGCTGGGGTTTCCTGCTGGGACGAGGAGGGAACCTCACCGTAGGTCATTCCCCGTCCTAGAGAGCGAGGTACGTCACCGTTCATCTCAGTCACGCTGATTCCCCTCCCCACCGCGGGGCTGGACCCACGCCCCCTCCCTCTACTCATACCAGGTGGGGCATTCTGAGAGCCATTCATTACTCCATTCTGACTGCTGGCTGTCAATATAACAATATCAAATGTCAAGTTTTGACTTTAAAATATATTGTAGGCCTTAGCAATTTACAATCTTAAGATGTTCTTGTTTTAATAACTGATCCATTCTGTAGCATTGATACCTGGAAGCCCTCGCCCCACACCGGCCATGGATAATGAATATGCAAACACTGCCGATGGATGCTGATCGAGCTTCTTTTGGTGAGGGAGATAAGTCTGAGCTGCAGTCTTTGGGAGGCGGAGTTTGGGCTGTTCATCCTTAATGGGCTCCTCTGCCTCCTTGTAGTGGGCCAAGTATCTGTTATTGAACACGGAAAATAAGGTATCACAGAGGTTTTACATTGAAATGCTTGGCAAATTTTGAGAAACAGATTTACTTATTTCAAGAAAACGACCTTATAAAAGTGAAATTAAATTTTAATCAGAGAACAGAACTAGATTGTTGGTTACAATTCAGATTTTAAGTATTCTTTCTGCAACTTGAATTTAAGTTAATAACCTTTGGTCAGTTCATGTTTTCTGGCAATAAATACATTGTGCATGTATGAAGTATGCACTTTTGATGCGTTTTTGTTACAAAGTTCTTAAGAAAATGACCAGGTATTTCTCCATGATCAAAATATGGCAGGAACAGGTATTACTTTTCTTCATTTACATAGCAAACCATGGGGCAGATCAGGAGCAATCTTAATAGTTCCAGTTTCAAAATTTCTTGTGAAGACATAGTAAATAAATTGTACACTTTTTCACTATAACCTTGAACTTGAACAAATAATTTAGGTTAATATGAAAATTTTCAAGGTTTGAAACTATTTTTGATTGATATGTTTCCATTTTTGCCCTCTTGAAAAGTTATGAACTTGATATAATCACGAAAACAGGTAGACAGACAAACAATGTCAACTGTACCCCCTTCTTTTTTAGCAGAGAGGAAAATCATAAGGAAACACATACTTCCTGTCCTCTGCTGGAATGTGCATCTGCTTGGCAAACTCTCTCTTCTCTGATTTTGTCAGACTGAAATAGTAAAAAATCATCAATATAATATGTCTTAAACCTTAATTAACTTTACAATGTAGAAATTAAAACAAAAATTCTCATTCAAGTTAAATATACAGTACCCTGGGATAATCATGTGGTCCTGACGTGCAAAAAATTGTGGATCCACCCCGATCCTGGCCACAGAAGGAATCTCTGTAAAACAACAAACAAGAAGATTGAGAAATCTTGTACGTAGAAATTAAAACAAGTGTATATTTTTATGTTTTTATTTTATTTCACAAAGCTGACACATTTATTCCAAAGCAAGTCTTCTTAACATTACAAATGGTGATAGCACTGACAAAATATTATCATGAGGTCTTTCAGAATTTGAAAATTATCAAAATGGACACCATTGTTTGTTTTTTAACATGCCTCTTTGGACCTCTAATAGCTTTTGTAGCAATACTAGTAAATCTAATGGATACATAATAATGGGTGGAGGGGTGGAAAAAACACTTGTTATAAAATTACAAAAAAAAAAAGAAAAAAAAAATTAACAATAATTTTGTCATTTCTGCTCAATGGATCCACAATAATACTACCTACAGCGTCGTGCCAAAAGTATTCGCGGAAAAATGGCAGCCGTCGTAAAACGTTCACGCTTCGCGTTTTTCAAATTGTTCTAAATCAATATGCAATCGCTTTTTTGTATTTTGACATCATCCCCAAAACCGCGTAAGGTCAAAGTTTACCGTGATGTCATGTTTGACGTCTGCTAAAGTTAGACTGCCGAATATTACGGACTGTAAACAACATGGGTAGAAAATCAAAAGAACTGTCACTAGAGATAAAACAGCTGATTATAGATTTGAAAGAAAACGGACAAAAAGTCAGTGAGATCTCAAGAATTATGAAAATTCCCGAATCTACATGTAGATCAATTTTAAAAACGTTTCATCAGCGAAAATGTGTGGAAAGAGCTCCTCATTCGGGACGTCCCAGGAAAGTGTCAAAACGTGGTGAAGTAAGATTACTTCGTATGGTTAGGAAGAACCGGGGAAGTGTTTTGAAGGACATAACAACTGATTTTAATAATGGAAATTATTGTGAACCAATTAGTGAACGGACAGTCAAGCGGATTTTACATAATAACAAAATTTACAGACGAGTAGTGAGAAAACGAATGGTTGTCAAAGAAGTAAATAGAAAGAAACGTTTAGCATGGTGTTTACTCAAACGAAGATGGACTGTTGAACAAAACTGGAAATCTATCATATTTAGTGATGAATCTCAAGTGGTTATAGGATAAAATAATCGTGTGTACGTCTGGAGATCCGCCCAGGAATCGTACCGTCCGGAGTGCATGTATGCGATTTCAAAACCAAAAGTTTCCGTAATGATATGGGGATGCATCAGCTGGTATGGTCCAGGGACTCTATGCAAGGTACAAGGTAATATTAATGCTGAGAAATATATAAATATCCTTGACAACCACCTGTGGCCTGTTATTGCCCGACATTTCCCTGCAAACAACTACGTTTTTCAAGACGACAATGCTCCGGTACATAGAGCCCGTGTTGTAGAGGAATATAAGCGTGCAAATAATATTGGGGTATGGTGTGGCCTGCCCAGAGTCCGGACATTAATATCATTGAAAATTGTTGGCATAGAATTAAAAGACAGATCCAAAATCACGCCGGAGATATTACCACCCCTGATCAGCTGTTCGCTGTTATTTTGCACACTTGGCAGAATTTCACCATAGAATATATTCAAAACCTTTATAAATCCATCCCAAAACGCATCATGGCATGTATACGATCCAAGGGACATTTAACAAAGTACTAAAGGTAAGCGTTTGTTTTGTTTTTGTTGTATTTGGGTGACTTTTATGTTGCAAGCGCGATAACTCTCAAATCACGTCCGCCATTTTTCCGCGAATACTTATGGCACGACGCTGTAGTTCACTTCCCTGTGGCTAGGGTGAAGTAAAAGTGGCAGCAGAGATTTATGGCCATTAAGAATGACTTTCCCTTTCAATACATATTTCTGATAGAATTAATTGTCAAAGTTAGATATGTATTTACCATCGTCCCAGTTTTCCTCACTGTTAATTACAACATTATCATAGACAGGTAGATCAGTACAGCCTCTAAACATGGACGCCTCTCCATTCCTCTTACTGCTCTCTGTCAAAACAAAGCACAGATGTTCAACTTTCAAATTCTAGTCAAATATTTTTCAATTTTATCATTATATGAACAAGTACATATATATATTTAGGGTCATATAATTGTAAATTATGAGTGTGGTTTTTTTTTTCAAAAGAGTTGTACTTTACCTAACCTGACATTTTACGGCTACCGAACTCTATATTCATAGAAAACACATTTTTAGTTTTCACTGTTGTATATAGGGTCAATGTATTTTTGTTCAGAGTTTTCATTCTCACATAAAAGGTTAATGTATTATTGTTCAGAGCAAAAATTTCCCCAAAACTAAACAAGTCACACTTTAAATTCCTAACAAAATGGAACAAAATTGATTATAAAATGAATGATTTCAACAGAAACTTATTTACAGTAATAAAAATTTGCACACTTATCATAGGCGTCGGAACCGGGGGGGCTACGGGGGGCTTAGCCCCCCCACTTTTTTTTCAAATATGTACTTAGTATAGACATTGAACATATCTTCGTAAGTTTAGCCCCCCCCCCCCCACTTTCCACAGATACGTCTTAGTATAGGTAGGAAATTTTTGGTACTGGAGTTTGAACCTTACCCCCCCCCCCCCCCCCCCCACGAAATAGGATTTTCGTGTTTGGGAAATAGACATTTCCTTTTTTTTTTTTTGCTTGTCAGGTTTTTTTGGAGGTACAAAAAAAATTTTTTTTTACACTTAGCCCCCCCACTTTTAATTTGATTCCGACGCCAATGCTTATGGACTTTTTGATTATAATGACTTACCATAGGCCAGCATCGGCTCAATGACAGCCTTGTCAGGACAGTTAGCTAAGTGATAACGAAGCTCTGGTTTGGGCATCTCATGCCTGGCATTGAAAGGACAAGTGGCAAAGTCGCTTCCAACATAGTTCTGAAGGGACAAAATAACCAAGAGTTGAAAATCCTTCTCAAAAGCTGTATTTTGAAATTTTATTATTATAGTAACACAAAATTCAATTTTAGTATTTTAGATGGTATCTATTTGTAATTTTAGCTTTTCATCTGAATAAAGTGTTAATGGAAATGCCTATTCTTATAATTATAGATATGAATAGTTGAATGAATCTAAGGTATTTATGGAATCTGTATTTAAGTGTATCTCTAGCAATGCCTATAAATTATTAAAATTCAGAGCATAACCCAAGAAGTGTAATTTCAAAATTCCAATTTTAAGATAAAATTTATAGAATTATCATAACAGTCAAAAGCTTGAGTGACAGTACACTGACCTTTCTGCACTTCATCAGATGGTACTGCATCCTTTTGGCCCTAATCATGTGAACCTTGTCGTAGGGGCAGGGAATCATCTCCTCAGGGTCAGGAATTTTATACTGAGCCATGATTGTACTTCACTGGTCCTGGACTGTACTCTCACTGGAACAAAAAAAAACCAGCACTGAGAATTTGAACAAGTGAGCTGCCACACAGAGATAGAATTACAAATCCCTAGCCCGTAACTCTTCTACATCCACAAAAAAAATAAACAGTGGGACACAATCTCACGATTTAGTGATTACCACTGGTGTGGAACAGTGGTTCCAAACAGGTGGTTGTGTTATCACAGCAAGAGACGAAGAATGAGAAACTCAAGTGGAGGATTCTCTCTAATACGCTAATTATTAATCACTCCTGCTGTTTTTAATTGAACAAGCTGGGTCATTCTTTATATCTCAGCGACATATGACATAACACTATATCCCTATCGAGAAAACAATAAGCCTTTCATCATCTTCCTATTTGTACAAGTAGAGCCTGTTTTATGACTGGAAGTAAATATGCTTTTAAACTTTGAAAGCTTATAAATCTGTCAAAAAAAATCTTGTTAAATTTAATAGGACTTATTCCGGTTACATCTTAAAACCTGTATCCCTCTATCACAAAAATATCTATATGTATTACTTGAATTCATTTGTGCACAAGCTGGGTAGTCATAAATAAAGGGACTGTAATTATCGAAGGAGATGCAAAGACCATCCTGTTTTGGAGTCATGGAATGTGAACAAAACATTATACATATCTAAATCAAAATGAAAATTGCTAGAGTATTGATTCATTTCTAAAATAATGAGACATTTCCCTCTTTCGATCACTTGTTCGTCTATAAGCATAAATAATAAAGCAAAAGTTGATAAAATATTAATGGGGTGGGTGCTTGAAAAAAAATTCTTTCATTTAAAATTTTGACAATAAATATATATCCACCAGCAATAAAACAGATTTTTAGACCCTGAGTTTACCTGACCCCCCTCTCCTCTCCAAACTATAGAGTAAGCGGATACATGGAAAATTACAAGCTGTTATAAAAAGAAACAAGAGGCCCACGTGCCTTATAGGTCACCTGAGTATCATGTAACAACTTTCCAAAAATTGAATTTGGTTCTTGTTTTAAACCAGAGGCCATGAAATTCTGAAAATTTGGAGAGAGGCACCATTGATTATCATAATTATAAAACTAAGCAGGCATGCTTACTCTATTTACTTAACACCAAGAGGTAGACCAGAATAGCAAAGAGAAAATGCACTTCCACTTTATAACCAGTTGTGCACCCAGAAGGAACCACTGACCCTGGGGCCACATATTTCAAAAGTTTGGAAATTTTATCAGAAATTTTATTTCATCATAAATGGTTGATTAATACCAAAGAGCAGATTTCAAAGCATTAATTTATTTTCAGACTATGTACCCCCCCCCTTTGATACCCCTGACGGTGACCCAGGGGGCAGGAAATTAACCATTTTGCTAGATGCACCTTACTTCATCAAATATATATAAACTTGGATCATTAGCATAATACCCAGGAGCAAAGAAAACGATTTTCAAAGAATGAATGTATTTTCAATATATAATCAAAAGAGCCCCACCACCCTTACACCAAATGGCAAACCCTGAAACAAGGGTCATAAAATTCACAAATTTGAATGAGGCATTATAACTTTATACTAAGTTAGTTTACTTAATACACAGAAGCAGAGAAGACAATTTTGAATTGTCACTATATAATCAATTAAATTTTCACTATGTAATCAATAGAGCCCCGCGCTAACACCAGAACCCCTGACCCTGGGGCCATAAAATTCACAATTTTGGAAGAGACACTCTTGCTCATCATAACTATGTACTTAGTTTATTTAGTACCCAGGAGCAGAGAAGAAGATTTTCAAATTTAATGCATTTTCACTATATAATCAATAGAGCCCCACCCTAGCACCAGAACCCCTGACCCTGGGGCCATAAAATTCACAATTTTGGAAGAGGAACTCTTGCTCATCAAACTATGTACTTACTTAGTTTATTTAATACCTAGGAGCAGAGAAGAAGATTTTCAAAGATTTAACGCATTTTCACTAAAAATCAATAGAGCCCCACCCTAGCACCAGAACCCCTGACCCTGGGGCCATAAAATTCACAATTTTGGAAGAGGCACTCTTGCTCATCATAACTATGTACTTAATTAGTTTATTTAATACCCAGGAGCAGAGAAGAAGATTTTCAAAGATTTAATGCATTTTCACTATATAATCAATAGAGCCCCGCCCTAGCACAAGAACCCCTGACCCTGTGGTCATGAATTTCACAATTTTGGTAGAAGACTCAATGCTCATTACATGCACACCAACAGTTTGCCTGCTTAATGTCCAGGAATAAAGAAGAAGATTTTTAAAGATTTCATTAATTTTAGTGGTTTTGGCCCCACCCCTCAGGCCCCAGGGGGGCAGGGATCATAAAATTCATAATTTTTGTTCCCCTTTACCCATATATGCTGTATACCAAATTTGGTTGAAATTGGTTTCAGTGGTTTCAGAGAAGAAGTTGAAAATGTTCAAATGTTAACACACGATGGACGACGGACATCGATCAACGACGGACGAAAACGGATAGCAATATGTCACCTGAGTGACTCAGGTGACCTAAAAAAGTGTGTCAAATTTACAACCTATTCATAACACATTGTTTAAATACTTGTTGTGTTCATTCAATATGCATGATTACCTCCGAAATTTCAATACTTGCCTCTACTGTGAATGTTAGATAAATGCTTAAATTTGTTATGCATCAATCATTACACCATACTTTCATTGTGTTTTTAAATTGTATGAATTTATACAGCTACAGAAATCAATACAATGCTGGATATGCCTGGAATCAATAATCAAAGGTAGATCCAGTGCCAGTGCACTGAATATAGACCCCCCCAAACCATTTTTTAAAAATAATTTGTTTGCATAACAAAAATTAACGTTCCTTCTAGTTTAGTACATATATCAATTGATAAAATGTTTATTTTTTTAACGTCCCTCTTGAGAATTTTTAACTCATATGAAGACGCCACCACTTGCTGGTGGAGAGTTGCAAATTGCCCATCAATGAGCAGCTGGATATCTTTTTCGTGCCAGCACCTACTGTGACACTGGACCTTGGTTTATACAGTCTAATCCAATGGACCAGTCTCAATGTCCCACAGTGGAAATCAATTCAGTGATATAAGGATCTACTCCTTACTTGCAACTCTAGAGCAGAAGTTCTAACCATGGGGCCAACAATTAATAAAATGATAACCTCTCTATTCATTAGTTTATTTTTTTTTTTTATTATTTTCACTAGTACCGGTAGTGTCATTCACTAACTTGTGTACGTACAAGCTATTTCAGAAATATTTTTTTTTAAACCATGCATATTCTAGTTATCATAGGATCATGACTAGTTTATTTTGGTATGGGAATACACAGGAGTAAAGTTTCTTATATGATGAAGGTGACAAGGTCTCTGGATCATGTAGCAATGTAAAATTTCTAAACTAAGGTATATACATATTAAGTGTTAAAAATGCTAAAACTAGTTCCCATAGTGATTTCAATTGGAAAAATATGAAGGTCAATGAACCACTGGCACAACTGTCAACATTTCCCTGTTTACAATGTCTCATTTTGAAAATGAAGGGGTCATATATATTTTATTTTTTAAAGAAATACCAAATTAGGAAATATGTTAGAAAACATTTTTGTTAATTACTTAGCTGATTTTTTTCATGCATTCAGTTCTGCTCATTTAAAGGATCAAGTAAACAATATGATCAAATCTTCCATATTTGGGGATTTACATTTTTAAAATTTGGAATAAGCATAGAAATAAGTGAGGTGATATACCTTTGTTCAAAGTTTGTTGCTATTAAATATATCATATATCAGGAAGTAGTTTTTGACGACTTTTTAACTGATGATATTGATTACATTTAAAACAAAATTTAATGAAAAACAATTATGAAATTCTTACACACAACATTTTTAACAGAATCGTTAAAAATTAAATGTGCACCTTAGAACCATCAATAGTTTATTTCACGCCTCAATTTTCTCCAATGGTGCAAGCCCTTTCCAATCAATGATTGCTGATTACGTGTACATATATTTGTCACACGAAATTTAAATTCATAATAATTAAGAGAATTAACTTCATGCAGTGTTAATAAAATAAACTATTTTGGGCTAACTCAGTCATTTTACTTGTAGGTTATTGGTTTATTGTTACATCGTGGTTAATGTCCCAAATTCACTTGTTTTTATTTTCAATAACCATGATAACCACCTGTACACACATTCGCGTAAGTTCATTTTGTTATTCACCTAGTAAATATTAATTTTACTTATTATTGTTTTTTTCAAGACTAATTAATTTAATAATTATTCAATAGTGGCAAATTGCAACCGGTGAAACGACTTCAGTTGTCGTGTACCAGACAACAAGGCGTTCAGGCATCATGGCGAACTGGCGCCAATACCTCAACAGCTGCTCAAGTCACGGTCAAACCAAAAATGTAAAAATTTAAAAAAAAAAAAAAGATATCATAAACTTACGGTATAAAATTCTGCAAGGACTATTTCTTGCTTCACAAAGGATTTTTGCTCGTTTACTTCCGTGTCGGGCTACAACTAGTTACTACAAGTATAAACTCTGAAAACTCATGATCACAGGGATGTCAAATCGGAAATGGCGAGATGAAAAGACAACAGAAAACGGTTTTTCGAGCCCGATGCAAATAAAACAATTTCAAATAAATAAATAAATAAATTACGAAAGCCGGATAGGCTCATTTCTGAGAAGATAAAAAAAAATTAACTCGTTATAACGAGTTAGTATCTCGTTATAACGACTTAGTTATCTCGTTATAACGAGTTAGTATCTCGTTATAACGACTTAGTTATCTCGTTATAACGAGTTAATTATCTCGTTATAACGACTTAGTTATCTCGTTATAACGAGTTAATTATCTCGTTATAACGAATTAGTATCTCGTTATAACGACTTAGTTATCTCGTTATAACGAGTTAGTATCTCGTTATAACGACTTAGTTATCTCGTTATAACGAGTTAGTATCTCGTTATAACGACTTAGTTATCTCGTTATAACGAGTTAATTATCTCGTTATAACGAGTTAATTATCCCGTTATACCGAGCTATAACGAATTAGTATCTCGTTATAACGACTTAGTTATCTCGTTATAACGAGTTAGTTATCTCGTTATAACGAGTTAATTATCTCGTTATAACTTAGTTTATTTAATACCTAGGAGCAGAGAAGAAGATTTTCAAAGATTTAACGCATTTTCACTAAAAATCAATAGAGCCCCACCCTAGCACCAGAACCCCTGACCCTGGGGCCATAAAATTCACAATTTTGGAAGAGGCACTCTTGCTCATCATAACTATGTACTTAATTAGTTTATTTAATACCCAGGAGCAGAGAAGAAGATTTTCAAAGATTTAATGCATTTTCACTATATAATCAATAGAGCCCCGCCCTAGCACAAGAACCCCTGACCCTGTGGTCATGAATTTCACAATTTTGGTAGAAGACTCAATGCTGATTACAATCATGCAAACAGTTTGACTGCTTGATGTCCAGGAGTAAAGAAGAAGATTTTTAAAGATTTCATTAATTTTAGTGGTTTTGGCCCCACCCCTCAGGCCCCAGGGGGGCAGGGATCATAAAATTCATAATTTTTGTTCCCCTTTACCCATATATGCTGTATACCAAATTTGGTTGAAATTGGTTTCAGTGGTTTCAGAGAAGAAGTTGAAAATGTTCAAATGTTAACACACGATGGACGACGGACATCGATCAACGACGGACGAAAACGGATAGCAATATGTCACCTGAGTGACTCAGGTGACCTAAAAAAGTGTGTCAAATTTACAACCTATTCATAACACATTGTTTAAATACTTGTTGTGTTCATTCAATATGCATGATTACCTCCGAAATTTCAATACTTGCCTCTACTGTGAATGTTAGATAAATGCTTAAATTTGTTATGCATCAATCATTACACCATACTTTCATTGTGTTTTTAAATTGTATGAATTTATACAGCTACAGAAATCAATACAATGCTGGATATGCCTGGAATCAATAATCAAAGGTAGATCCAGTGCCAGTGCACTGAATATAGACCCCCCCAAACCATTTTTTAAAAATAATTTGTTTGCATAACAAAAATTAACGTTCCTTCTAGTTTAGTACATATATCAATTGATAAAATGTTTATTTTTTTAACGTCCCTCTTGACAATTTTTAACTCATATGAAGACGCCACCACTTGCTGGTGGAGAGCTGCAAATTGCCCATCAATGAACAGCTAGATATCTTTTTCGTGCCAGCACCTACTGTGACACTGGACCTTGCATGGTTTATACAGTCTAATCCAATGGACCAGTCTCAATGTCCCACAGTGGAAATCAATTCAGTGATATAAGGATCTACTCCTTACTTGCAACTCTAGAGCAGAAGTTCTAACCATGGGGCCAACAATTAATAAAATGATAACCTCTCTATTCATTAGTTTATTTTTTTTTTTTTATTATTTTCACTAGTACCGGTAGTGTCATTCACTAACTTGTGTACGTACAAGCTATTTCAGAAATATTTTTTTTAAAACCATGCATATTCTAGTTATCATAGGATCATGACTAGTTTATTTTGGTATGGGAATACACAGGAGTAAAGTTTCTTATATGATGAAGGTGACAAGGTCTCTGGATCATGTAGCATTGTAAAATTTCTAAACTAAGGTATATACATATTAAGTGTTAAAAATGCTAAAACTAGTTCCCATAGTGATTTCAATTGGAAAAATATGAAGGTCAATGAACCACTGGCACAACTGTCAACATTTCCCTGTTTACAATGTCTCATTTTGAAAATGAAGGGGTCATATATATTTTATTTTTTAAAGAAATACCAAATTAGGAAATATGTTAGAAAACATTTTTGTTCATTACTTAGCTGATTTTTTTCATGCATTCAGTTCTGCTCATTTAAAGGATCAAGTAAACAATATGATCAAATCTTCCATATTTGGGGATTTACATTTTTAAAATTTGGAATAAGCATAGAAATAAGTGAGGTGATATACCTTTGTTCAAAGTTTGTTGCTATTAAATATATCATATATCAGGAAGTAGTTTTTGACGACTTTTTAACTGATGATATTGATTACATTTAAAACAAAATTTAATGAAAAACAATTATGAAATTCTTACACACAACATTTTTAACAGAATCGTTAAAAATTAAATGTGCACCTTAGAACCATCAATAGTTTATTTCACGCCTCAATTTTCTCCAATGGTGCAAGCCCTTTCCAATCAATGATTGCTGATTACGTGTACATATATTTGTCACACGAAATTTAAATTCATAATAATTAAGAGAATTAACTTCATGCAGTGTTAATAAAATAAACTATTTTGGGCTAACTCAGTCATTTTACTTGTAGGTTATTGGTTTATTGTTACATCGTGGTTAATGTCCCAAATTCACTTGTTTTTATTTTCAATAACCATGATAACCACCTGTACACACATTCGCGTAAGTTCATTTTGTTATTCACCTAGTAAATATTAATTTTACTTATCATTGTTTTTTTCAAGACTAATTAATCTAATAATTATTCAACAGTGGCAAATTGCAACCGGTGAAACGACTTCAGTTGTCGTGGCCAGGACAACAAGGCGTTCAGGCATCATGGCGAACTGGCGCCAATACCTCAACAGCTGCTCAAGTCACGGTCAAACCAAAAATGTAAAAATTTAAAAAAAAAAAAAAAAGATATCATAAACTTACGGTATAAAATTCTGCAAGGACTATTTCTTGCTTCACAAAGGATTTTTGCTCGTTTACTTCCGTGTCGGGCTACAACTAGTTACTACAAGTATAAACTCTGAAAACTCATGATCACAGGGATGTCAAATCGGAAATGGCGAGATGAAAAGACAACAGAAAACGGTTTTTCGAGCCCGATGCAAATAAAACAATTTCAAATAAATAAATAAATAAATTACGAAAGCCGGATAGGCTCATTTCTGAGAAGATAAAAAAAAATTAACTCGTTATAACGAGTTAGTATCTCGTTATAACGACTTAGTTATCTCGTTATAACGAGTTAGTATCTCGTTATAACGACTTAGTTATCTCGTTATAACGAGTTAATATCTCGTTATAACGACTTAGTTATCTCGTTGTAACGACTTAGTTATCTCGTTATAACGAATTAGTATCTCGTTATAACGACTTAGTTATCTCGTTATAACGAGTTAGTTATCTCGTTATAACGAGTTAGTATCTCGTTATAACGACTTAGTTATCTCGTTATAACGAGTTAATTATCTCGTTATAACGAGTTAATTATCTCGTTATAACGACTTAGTTATCTCGTTATAACGAGTTAATTATCTCGTTATAACGAATTAGTATCTCGTTATAACGACTTAGTTATCTCGTTATAACGAGTTAGTTATCTCGTTATAACGAGTTAATTATCTCGTTATAACGAGAAAATTAACTCGTTATAACGAGTTAATTTTTCTCGTTATAACGAGTCAATTTTCTCGTTATGACGAGTTAAAAACTGATCTAAAGTTGATATATCTAAGTGATAGGAAGTATAATAGTATAACATATAAAACCAAGTTGATCAAGTTTGTTTATAGTGTGTATGATAAAGATTTTTCTTGAAAAACAGCAAACTAGTTTATTTTTTTTTTGTTTTTCGAGGGGTTGTGCCTGTGATTGTATTCTGTTTATGTATAAACGATGCAGTTGATTTGTATTGTATACTTAAAAAACCGAAGACAAATACATATACATGTATACGGAAACTTATGACTGCCTCTTGATGTTGTGTTATGAGTGAGCAGTAGCCCTCGAATTTTACGCCCATGGCCTCATTGCTGATGTCTCCATATCCCCCTTCTTCAAAACATTTCTGACTCTCAAAATAATATATATATCACACTGTAAGTGTATATGATATATGTTGCATTAACGCCTGCGTTAGCTTCCTATTATAATGTATTAATTTCGGTACTAAGACATTGGTTATGAAAGCTAATAAGTCATCCAAACATATCAGAAAAATTAGTGTCTTTTATCGGAGAAAGTTGTCATAAATAAATTGTCAAACTTTGAAGCAAGTACTTTTGGTAATAGATTCTTTTTATATTGTGTCCTTGGAGAAGTTCACGTATAAATGTGTAAATAATGATTGCTATACTTATCAAATTGTGATTATTGACAGCAAGATAGTTCAGGATGAATATTATTTAAACCATATCGCAAATTAAAATTGCAACTTTTTATCAATATTGAAGTGATGTATGACTGATAATTATCAACTAAACATCAATGGCATTAAAACTACAGCCATTCTTAATTCATAACTAACTCGTTATAACGAGTTAATTATCTCGTTATAACGAGTTAATTATCTCGTTATTACGAGTTAATTAACTCGTTATAACGAGATAACTAACTCGTTATAACGAGATAATTAAATCGTTATAACGAGATAACTAACTCGTTATAACGAGATAATTAACTCGTTATAACGAGATAACTAACTCGTTATAACGAGATAATTAACTCGTTATAACGAGATAATTAATTCGTTATAACGAGATAATTA